CCAGGTTAATCTTTAGAAGTAAAAATATCTCCTATTTCATCTCTATCTTCATTACTATTTTTCTTGTTTGCAATAATGCAAAGCCAAAGACAATATCCTCACGTTAACGAACCCTGTGATCTATGCTGAAACACATAATTGGGGTATTGTCCCTAGCTATTACATTATCTCATTATTTTATCTGCTGGGTTCAAGCCAGGGCACATACACCATATAGAACAGCAATAATTTTTTTAATAATTGTGAAAAGGAGGCTTCTGAATTTCTTTACTAGTACGAACAACCTTTTATGGCCATTTTCTTAGGCTACGGGCATGAAAAAAATATATATAGATAGGTCAGATACACATCCTCGACAGTTTTAGATCACTGCAAACAATCTCAGGTTTTGCTGTATTGCTTGAAGAGAACAGTTTCTTTACAGGTGCTGCAGAAACTTTGGGTTGGTTTGCTCTCCACCATGAGTGAAGTATTCCTGCAAAAAAAAAAAAGCAGCTTCAGATGTGTAGCAAATTAAATGTCTGACTGGCTGATCTGCTTTGGATGATGTACAATACACAGCATGTTATCTGAACTGTAGAGACACAAGACAATACAAACTTGTAAACATAAATATAGGAAGATGTTGCAAAGTATACAAGAAACAAACGGAAATCAATCCCTGAGTATATGGTAATATTGCTCTCACTTCAGCATGTTTTGGCCTGTGTTTTGAGTAACAGGAGTTCTATACTAGACTTTCAAACTTGTGTAAATAGCTTTTTAATTCAGCACCTTAGCTGAAAGAATTTCGAGTATTTACAAAGAGAGTAGAAGTAGGAAAGAGAAGGGTAGCTGTTAGGGAGAAGAAAGGAGGACTGAAACAGGGGGAAAAAAGCATTCTTTTAGATGAGATGCAAAACCACTTGAGTACAAAAAATACACGGTGCTTTTCCCCCCAAAGACAAAGCTCTGAGATCATGGCCAAACTCCACAGTAAGGCATTAGACTGTACTTATATAAAACCAAATATTTTTGCAAGAGAATATGAAAACATTCTTAATGTGTCCACAAAATTATTGTCTGCTGTCGAGAGTGTGATGTTTAGCAGTTGTGCTTCACACAAGTGGTTGCATTTAGCAGCGGCAGATTTGATCCACCTTTATTATCTAACCATCTCTGAAATTATTTCTGTTCTGCTGGCCTAAAAATAAAAGCCACCTGTATATACATCATTACAGATGATGTATATCTGCAGCAGAAATCCTTCACCAAGGAACCTTTCCTCAGGAAAGCAAAACTCTTACTTGGCAGGAGTGAAGGTGTCACACCATTTGCCAATTGTTCAGTGATCTCTATAAAATGAGCTGGTGTTAAGGACAAAGTAATATGAATGTGGGTGGAGGGCAGCAACCTCAAAGGATCTCAGACAACAAAGAAAGGCCAACAATAGCTTCTCTCTGTCCCAGTCATGTTTACCCTGAAGACCGAGGAGATCATAAATTTTTAGTACTCTGTCAGACTTCTGTATCCCTGCTGACAGAGATTTCACTTTGGTTATTGCATGTAAGAGAAGATAAGATGAACAAATCCATGATTATACAACAACTAGTTTTAATCATGATCAAACCTGTCAGGCCTAGATTTGAACTGGAAATCCAATTATGAAAAGTCCTGTGACCCATTAACATTATCTTCATAGTCTGTGACACTCCAATGAAAAATAATTAAATTTTCTGGAGGAAAATGTCTGATTATTAATTCATAAACTGCTTGGACTACAGCCTTAGCATTTTATTTCATTTCATTGTATTCAAACAAAAACAATTAAGACTTTACTTTCAACTCCCAGAAGTACTGTTTGAATATACAAGACAAACAACCCTGAACATGATGAGCAGTGCATGTTCCTCCCAGAGTACTTATGGCATGTTAGAGAGATTTGTTACCATGAAAACTAAATGTTAATGTTGAATTTCATTTTCCTTAAAGTGATGTTTACATATGCAAAGGCTTTGTTTAAATATTGGAAAACAGACTGAAACACCAAAATCTGTAACTTAGTATAGAACAGTTAATTTAAAATACAAATACCATAGTTAGTAGGCACCTGAGCTCTTCCTTCCAGATTTTAGGGGTCTGAGTGCTTATTTCATATTTCCATCACATTTCAGTAATTTGAAAGGGATCTAGTTTTATGCATGAATACTTTAAGCTGAACTACATTAAAATGGAAAAACAAAACCAATTAGTATTATTAACTTTGGCTTCATTTAATCTACTTTTTTTTGTGTAAGTATATCATGCAGTAGTTCAAGTATTGTCCTTCCTTTTAACCACATCCCTGAACACCAATGTCAGTTAACTGCTGAATTTTATATTGCAAAGGTTTCTTCTGGAAGAATCTTTCTTTAAAAAGATAGCGGTGATTATTCCCCCAGTTCACACACATTTACCATTCTGAACTTTTTGATTTGCAATTGTGTATCGATTACAATTAACCAATTAACATTTTTATATGTATTTTATCAATACCCCAAAACACCAAAGCAGATCATAGTTTCAGTTTCCAATGCTACAAAACAATGTATACAGGGTTCTAAAATTATTACATAACTCATCCCACCTCTTGCATTATAAAGTTTTTATTATGAAACAGACCTTAAAGAGAAGAATTACAATTGCAAATAGACTCCTGTGGAATTTAGTGGATTTTTTTTCCTCACACACAAAAAACCCCCTTTGTTAAAAGCAATCGACATTTTTCAAGTATAATGAAGTTTGCATCAATAACATCACAACCAAAGTACCCAACCAAGGGTGCGCTGCTATACGTCTCATGCAGTGCATTCTAATGATACTTAGTGATTTCTCTTTCCTTTAAGAGAATAGAGACCTTGGCAAAAGCTAAACATTTGAAAGAGCATTACAACTGCACTGTTAGCGAGAAGTTGTACTGGCAGAATCCCATTTGGTGGCATTTCACCTAGCATGTTTCAAAAAGTGTGCTGTAAGCACTGTGCATTCTCCTCCTTGACCCCTCCAAAATTCCCAAATGATTTCCAAGAGAAATTTTAAGGTCTTGACAGTTTAATTAAAGGGAAAACAAAGCATTATTCCAGAATTAATGAAATTACTCAATTATGGTCTCAAAGGCCAAACAACGCTGACATTACTGATAGTTTTCCAAGCATCATTCCACCACCTGCTGTGCGTGCTCTGTATGGAGGCTCTTGTTCCGTTGTCAAGTTC